GGGGGGGAGAAGAAGGCTTTTTGTTTGACTCACAACAGTGGCTCATTAGATTAGGGCAGTCGTTATCCTATTGTCATCATCTTTAGCTGCATTAGTAACAGTATTGAGCATAGGTGTAATGAACCCAGGCGAGATAACACACATTGGACATGCAGATACTGTTCACAGCAACGCACGAGCATTAGCGCTCGTGCAGTACGAGTCCAGTGGCTCAATGACAAAGCAACTCGTAATCCAATCTTGTTGATGAATAATGTCGATCAGATCTGTTCCAGTAACCGAGTATATAGACAAGAGAGAGAGAGGGGGGAAGAGGAGTCTTAGAAGAAGAAGAAGAAGAAGAAGCCCACTTCTTCTCCAGGCCAAACAGATTCGCCCCCCTCTCCAGCAGCGTCATTCCAGACACAGATCCGAGTTCCTCAAAGTGCCACGTGGCACATCAACATTCTCTTCACCAACGGAGCAGCAATGTCGCCTCAATAACAGGTACATGTCATCTCATCCCCACAGTCCCTGACCTCCTTCCGGACGACGAAAGTCTGAACAGCGAATGAACACGTGGCACAGCCACATCACCATCACACTACGTGGCAGCAGCCAAACCAGCCACGACACGTGGCGCTACCACGTCAGCACCTTGTAGACAAGAGCAAGCCAACCACCATGCCAGCAAGCAAGCAACGCGTCGACGCTGAAGAACGCCAACGCTCAACCAGCAAGTAACCAGCACCTCACAAGCCAGCGTCGTGTCAAAGTAGAGTCAGCCTTGACTCGCGACAGAATGAATGAATGAATGACGTCAAAGTCGGGAGTCAACCTTAAGTAGCGTTGACTCGGGGTCAATGCCCCGGTGCAGCGGTCCTGTGCCGTCAGATCTTGATGCTGCGACGGCCTGGATCGGTCTGCGATCGATTCTCACTTGGTCCGATGTCTTGGCCTGGTACCTGCATACAAACACATGTGTGTATCTGTTCGTGGACTTGGGTATGGTACCTGTGACCCGACAGTTGACTTTGACCTTTGAATTTCCCCAGTCCAGCGCTGGGTCTCACTGGCCAGACGCTGGGCTGGGCCGGGCARTGMGTRGTCACACAGCCCGGCCTCTGCTGAGTGCGGGTTACTGCATTCCTGCCGACCCAATTTCGAGTTCCATCGCAGAAATAACTATCCTTTCAACCCACGCTCATATGCAGAGACAATGTCAGGAGCAGTTTCAAGGAGCTATTGTTTGCTGAACCACCGATCCTTGGATGGTTTTTTAGTCTTAAATCTTACTTTGAACTGCTTCTGCGGTCGTCCACGCCTTCCGGTGGAGAAGAACCCATGGTCTACAATCCGATCTACTTCATAACTTCCGTCCATCGAAGGTGGAATCATAGAAGGCCTGTTAGGAAACTCATCTCCCTCCACATACGGTAGCAACTTAGAAGCGTGGAATACACGGTAGGTTTTGAGATGCGGGGGAATATCAATTCTGTAGGACGGTCCCTCTGCATCTACAATTATTTTGAGAACTTCCCAGGGCCCAAAGTAGACAGGCAGCAATTTCTGTGAAACATCTTCTTCCAAGGAGAATTCATTAGACTTTACCCAACCATGTCACCTACTTGAAAGTTAGCAGGTCTTCGATGTTTGTTGGCCTGGTTAATCATCTGTTCTTGTGCTTTCTTTAGGTTCTCCTTAACTTTCTGGATGTCTTCCTGGAACAAAACTGCATATTCACAAGTCCCTGGCGGTAGCCGTAAACATTGGTCCCTGGTCAATACATCAATGGGACGTCGCGGCTTCCACTCTTTATGTAGTGCGTTAGGGGTGCGTCCGGTTGCAGTGTGGATGTTGCTGTTGTATGCACTAACTATTTTCGGTAAGTTCTCGTCCCAATCAATCTGATTGGGCCGGGCATACATGCGCAAGAGCTGTTGGCACAAGCGGTTCATTTGCTCGCTTTGCCCATTCGTTTCAGGATGGCGTCCTGACGACATGGTCAAACGAGTGTCGTATGCCTCCATCAGCTTTTGCCATGGCATACTTGTGAATCTCACTTCTCTGTCAGATACAATAGACAATGGGAATCCATACTCAGTTACCCATCGCATCTGAAACTTCTGGATCACAAGCTCAGTTTTTGCTTCAGCAGGCAAAGGAATAAACATTGCATACTTAGAGAAACGATCGACTACAACCATCACTTGACTGTTGCCATTTCGACTCTTGACGAGACTCATGAAGTCTATGGAGATAGACTCCTGTGTTACCGCGCGTACGTTGAACGCGAGTTTCGCGTTCATTTTTTGAGCGCGTTGAACGTGCGTTCAAAGAACGCGGGTAAACACTCTGAACGCAAACGCGCAGAGCGCCACCCACGCCCGAGAGGCCCGTCAGAGGTGCTGGGGAGCAGCGACGGTGCTTGGGGGGGCTGTGGGCAGTGTGGGGAGCGGCAGCAGTGCTTGGGGGGGGCTGTGGGTCAATGCCCTTGGCAAAATGGGCAAAAAAAAAAATAAAAAAAATGTGTGTGAATGTGTGTGTGTGTGTGTGTGTGTGTGTGTGAACGTGTGTGTGTGTGTGTGTGTGTGTGTGTGGGTATGAAAAGTCCTTCTTCATGCTTTTTTTTTGTTGGGGGGGCGGGGTTAAGGAATCCTCGTAACATGGCTCAAATGGCCCATGCAGGCAATCTGGAGGGTACTCGCAGCACTAGTGTGCAGACCCTCCATCAAAATCGAGGCAAGCAATGAGTATGAAGTGTAGCACGAGCTGGCCGAATATATACTCAAGATTGAAGTTCAGGTCTGTGTTTCAGCAGTTATGGGTTGCTCACGTAGCTTGCCATGCTGGTCTCAGCACGTGATTCTCAGGGCTTGGCTGCACTACTCACCAAATGTGCAAAACTAGAATGAATCTTCTGCAGAAAACGGAATAATACGCCGCCATATATTTTGTCTTTTTTGCATGTGGTGGCCACATCACGTGTTCCTATGAAAAGAAAAAGGAGAAAAAAGAAAAACAACAAAAAAGAAAAACGAGAAAAGAGAATAACCAAAAAAAAGAAAAATAAGAAAGTCTTTGCACGTGATTCTTCGGGCTTGGCTGCACTACTCACCAAAAGTGCAAAACTAGAATGAATCTTTTGCAAAACATGGAATAATACGCCCCCATATGTTTTGTCTTTTCTGCATGTGGTGAGCAGAGGCCCTCAGGGCCACAGCACGTATTCCTAAGAAAAGAAAAAGGAGAAAAACGAAAAACAACAAAAAAGAAAAATGAGAAAAAAAAAAAACAAAAAAAAAGAAAAATAAGGGCATATAAGGGCAGGAGTCTGTCTGTCGTACAGTGTTACATCTTCGATGCCACACGGGTCCTACCGGACCCGACGTAGGGGTAGAGGGACACAGTAGGGCCAAGGGCCCGACCTTGGGGGGTACTACAGGCCGTAAAGGCCTTACCTTGGATCAGACCCGACGGGCCAGCCCAAACGATATTACCGTTTAGGCCTGGCGGCGCTCTTGAGGCTGCCGCCCGCCGGTTGGGGCTGAACCGTCCATCTGGACGGTTCAGGGCACGGTCAGGCCTCGCACCATAGAGGCCGGTATGCTGTTTGATTAGGTTCCGATAAATTGATACTAATCCAACATTCTGTTTGATTCGGATTTCTGGTTAGTAATTTGTAATTAGGGTTAAATCAGTTTTCTGTTGATTTCGGCATTCTGATTTCTTTCGGTACTCCGTTTTTATTTCGGCATTCAGATTTTTAATCCGGTATTTCGTTTTACAAATCGACATTTCCGTTTTATCGCAGTAGTGGAAAGTAGGGTTACGAAAATTTGGTTTTCGCTCAACTTGGGAAATTCGAACGTTTTGGGAACCGTAAATCCGGAAATTCCGCCGAAACGCGAAAAATTAGGGTTGGGCCCGAAATTTTTGCGAATTGTTTTTTCTTTCCTTTGTTTTGAGAAATTCCGAAAACGGGTTTAGGCCGTTAAAAATCGAATTTTGACGGTGGAAATTCCTGAAATTCACGTTTTTGAAAATTCGAGTGTTTTCCCCTAACTTATTCCGAGAATTTTTTCGGCAAACTAATCCGAATCTAACCCTCAAAGTTGCAACTTCTGGATAGTTCACTCATTACCGGTGAACTCCCAGACCGAAATTGATCTCAACGAGACCTGATCTTAATACAATTCAAAATTCGTTCATTATCATTATTGCAAAGATTGTTTTAATTGATTATCGTTAAGAAATCATTGTTGCAAAGATTGTTTATTGATTATCATTAAGAATTATTCTTTCATATTAATCATTAATTAAATTATTGATTAAATAATTCGTTATTATTCTTCCTATTACGAATTTTCAAATTGTTTACGGAAAATTTATTTTTTGTTTGATTAGGTGTCTTAGTCTATCCTTGGGACAGGGACTGTATGCTGATTGCTTTGATCTGTTCTATCCCTGTACCCACCCTCTCCCTCACACTGTTCTGCGATCCTTCGGACGAGCCAGTCTTCAGCAACAGTTTCTGATGCCAGCAGGGCCAGCCTCCGAACAGCACCCACGACGCAACAAGAGGATCGCCGATCACCAACAGCGACAGCAACCTCCAGTTCCACAACCTCCACAGACCAGTACTCAGATGGCGAACACGCCATACAACGGATCATCATCCGAGGGTTCGACAACTAGTAATGTCGAACCCTTACCGGTCTATCTGGTGCAAGGGTTGAATGAGCCTCTCCCGGACTTCATTCAGAGAATGCAGAACTATACAGCCGCACTCACCCAGGTCAAGGAACAGCAAGAGGCTGCCGCGGCCGAAAGACTACGGCTAGCAGAGGAAGCTGCAGCACAAACCCGGCGTCAAGCCGAGGCAGACCAGTTGGCGATCGATCAACTCAACGCCGGCAGCGCTGACCTTGTAAGTGCTAACCAAGCACAATGGACAGCGGTGCTCAACGGGATGCGTTATGTCCCGGCACCCGGCAGCGAGCCAACGACAGTACAACAAGAGAGGCACGACCGGGCAGATATTCTACTCCATACAATGCGGGCCGTCATTTGGAACAGCTCCATGGGGGAGCTGCATTCCCGGTCCACACTGCAGCTACAACACGATCTGAGCGACAACGTGAAGATACTTGCAGCAACTGTCAAGGTCGCGGACAACCAGTTGAAACAGCTGGATGCACGCATTGCTACCTTGGAGGCAAGGCCTCCCCAAGCAGCGCCAGGCTGCACACCAGATATGACAGACACAACGAAGCAGCTCAATGGGCACATCGATCATGTCCTCAATCTCATCGGCGACATAGGTGTTTTCAATGGGCCGGACACGATCCGTAGCACGGTGGTCGCCATCAAGACGGACATCACCAAGCTGCAGATGAAACCGGACCCCACTACGAAGAACTACAAGATGCCGCACTTTGACATCAGCAAGTTCGACGACCACAACAAGACGGACGCTTTGGCATGGTGGCAACGTTTCCTCACGGAAGCATCATGCCGCACTGTCCCGGACGACTATCTGATGAAGGCGTTATACTTACAGCTGATTGGAGGAGCGCAGGCATGGATGAACCATCTGGCGGCTACCCACACATGCACCATCGTCGAACTTCACACGCACATCACGTGGAAGGATTTCGAGAAGTTATGGTTCACCCGGTTCATGGTCCGCAACGTCGTGAAGGCGGTCATGAACGAGGTGTACACCTGCTCTCAAGGAAGTATGCCAACTCGAGACTGGACAACCAAGTGGCAGAAGATAGTGACCACGCCAGGCTTCGATTTGACTTTTCCAAATCAACGATCCGAGTTCTTCTCGTGATCGTGGGCAGGATTGCAGTCGGCACTCGGTAATGAGTATGACTATACCTCGTTTCAGGCTACCCTGGATCGCGCAAACCTGGTCATCCAAACGGATGACAAGGCCGCTAACGAGAAACAATCCCAGCCGCATTATGTGGCCAAGCAGAGCTATCAACGTCCGACACATAACAATGTCGTGATTTCGAAAGAAACAGACGATCTCCACGCTGCAGCAAGCATTATGGAGGAATTGTAGCAACGCTCCCGCCGAAGCGTCCTAAGAGAGTTCGGAAGAACAAGGCGACACAAGAGACGGCATCGACAAGAACTGGGCAGCATCCATGGACGGCCTACAACATCACCAAGGAAGTCTATGAACTTCGTCAAAAGTACAGATATTGCCTTTGGTGCAATGGAGTCACACACTTGACTGCACAATGCCCCGAAAAGGGCAAGGCACGCGTACTCCGTCCACCGAACTTGGGAAACTGAGTTGCGCAAGGAGAGAGGTGACGTCTCTCCTCACTCCGCCGGACCCGGTTGCCTTGCTAGCAATCGATGTCACTACCGGGGAGCATGTGTTAGTCGCTGATTCTCGTCCTACGTATGAGGATTATGCCGCCCAGCTGATACCACTATTAGACCAGCCGAGCCACGTGCATTTAGATAGCGTATGCGCAACCTGTACACCGTCGGCAAGTGATCTGGTCAGCTCGCCACTGACTTTCGAGGACTCGACGGCGTGGTCACGACTTGAGGAGCTTGACCCGCTCACGAGAGAGGACTTCGCTTGGATGCCACTACCCTCAACCGGAACCTTGCCAAGGCCGCATTGCAACGCCTTGATGGCAGATTTACGCTCCTATTTGCACACTACAGTACCAGCTCCGCTGACGGACGATGGAGTAGCGGTTGTCGATCTCCGCTCCTATCTTGCGAAGATTGGCCGCGAGTACGCCACCCAGAGGTACGCCGAAATCGACGCTCCTTTGCTCTATATCTGCATTCAAATCGGAAAGGCAACCTGTAATGCCTTGATTGATTGCGGAGCGTCTCGCAACTTTATGAGCCAAGCCTTTATGGCCCGCGCAGGTSTTGGCCCRCGCGTTCGAAGGAAGACGCAACCCACRCAAGTTACACTCGCGGACGGCCGCACGCAAAAGTCAATTGACCGATGCGTCGACAACGTTCCGATATACTTTGCGCCACTTGCGTGCGAGCCGGTGTCTTTTGACATCCTCGACACCAAGTTCGACATGATTCTAGGCATGTCTTGGTTGCGTAGCGTCGATCATTCGGTGAACTTCCATGATCGAACCGTTCACATCCGTGATCGGAACGGAGTGTTAGTCCCATGTACGGTCGCGACCCCTCTCACTTCGATTGCTTGTCATGTGGTTTCCGTTGCGAGAATTCACGACGCTATAGCTCGGAATGACGTCGAGGAGATGGGCCTTGTATTCTTGCATGCTCTCCCCTCGCCGGACGGACCAGCCGCGTCACCGCCGGACCCACGCATTTCTCACCTCTTGGACGAGTATAGAGACGTCTTCGAGGCTCCCACCGGAACGGTTCCGGATCGGCCAATACGTCACGGGATCACTCTCGAGGCTGGCGCCGTCCCTCCGCGTGGATCTATCTACCGCATGAGCGAAGAGGAACTCGAGGTGCTTCGCGCACAACTCGATGACCTTCTCGACAAGGGCTGGATTCGCCCTAGTTGCTCGCCATACGGTGCCCCTGTTTTCTTCGTCCGGAAGAAGAACAAAGATCTACGGCTATGCATCGATTATCGAAAACTTAATGCACAAACCGTAAAGAACGCCGACCCTCTCCCTCGGATTGATGATCTTCTTGAGCGGTTAGGCGGCGCGACGTACTTCTCGAAGTTGGACTTGAAGTCAGGTTACCMCCAGATTGAAATCCAGCCTCAAGACCGGTACAAGACCACGTTCAAGACGCGGTACGGGCATTTTAAGTGGGTTGTCATGCCCTTTGGCCTCACCAATGCCCCCGCGACTTTCCAAGCAGTGATGACGACTTAGTTTCACGACTTGCTCGATCRCAGCGTCCTCATCTACCTTGATGACATCTTGGTTTACAATAGGACGTTGGACGAGCACATCGTACACCTTCGCGTTGTTCTGGATCGTTTGCGACTAGCCAAGTACAAAGCGAATCTCGACAAGTGCGAATTCGCCAAGCAAGAGCTTGAGTACTTGGGTCATTTTGTCACGTCGAAAGGCATTCGTCCCTTAGCGGATAAGATCCAAGCCCTCGTGGATTGGCCGGAGCCCCGTTGCACGATGGATGTACGCTCTTTCATGGGTTTGGCTGGATATTATCAGCGATTCGTCGAGTCATACTCGAAAGTGGCTGCTCCTTTGTCGAGACTTCAGTCCCCGAAGGTGCCCTTCGAGTTCGACGACGCAGCCCGTGGCGCATTCACTACGTTGAAGGCAGCAATGCAAGCCGCACCTGCCCTCCGTATATACGACCGCACCCTACCCACCCAAGTGACTACGGACGCTTCGGGATACGGTATTGGCGCGGTGTTGGAACAGTGTCACGAGGACGGTTGGCATCCGGTCGAGTATTTCTCCCAAAAGGTGCCTCTCGTAAACACTCTCGACGACGCTAGGAAGAAAGAGCTACTCACGTTCGTCACCGTTCTCAAACGGTGGCGCTACTTTCTTCTCGGACGTCGGCGTTTTAAATGGAATACAGACAACAATCCGTTGACCTTTTACAAAACGCAGGATACGGTCACTAGTACGATCGGTCAATGGATGTATTACATCGACCAGTTTGACTTTGACCCGTGCCACATTCCCGGTCCCGCCAATCGAGCTGCGGACGCCCTCTCACGACGGCCCGACTTTTGTGCCATTGTGACCACGACATTCGACCTCGAGGACGATCTGCAGCCGCATTTCGTCAAAGGCTACAAGTCCGATCCGACTTACTCTACGCTTTATGCGGAGCTTTCATCGGATCACCCGCCGGCTGGCCACTATCGGATTTCCAATGGGTTCCTTCTCCTCCACACGAGAGGAAAGGACTTGTTAGTCGTGCCCCAAGATCGCATCTTACGGACTCGTCTCCTCGGCGAATTCCACGATGCACGACTTTCGGTACACCTTGGCGTGAACCGCACATTAGCGCGCCTTCGCCAGCGTTTTCACTGGCCCGACGTCCTTCATGACGTCACGAGGTACATTGAGTCATGTGCAGTTTGCCACCGTAACAAGGGTCGATCTCGAGTCCCCTTCGGCAAACTGAAACCGTTGCCGATTCCTCGGGCACCGCGCCTCTCCATTGCTATGGACGTGACAGGCCCGTTCCCCCGCGATCGCCACGGCCATGACGGTATTCTCACGGTCGTTGACCGTTTGAGCAAGTATGCTCGCTTCCTTCCTTGCAAGTATCATGCTGCAGCGCCTGAGCTCGCACGACTCTTGCAGACCGGTTGGATTACCAACCAGGGTGTTCCGGAAGACATAGTGAGCGACCGAGATACTCGCTTCATGTCGGCCTTTTGGACTTCCCTCATGACTGAGTCCGGTACAACAATGAAGCCAAGCTCGGCTCGGCACCCGCAGACGGATGGCCAAACGGAGCGAGCACACCAGACCGCTTAGATGATGTTGTGTACGCTCATCCGTCCCGACCAGAAAGATTGGGTTGACTGGCTTCCTGACATCGAGTTCGCCTATAACACTTCGGTGCACCCGGCGATCTGCGTCACACCATTCGAGCTACATCATGGTGGAGAGAAAGCATGGATCTTCGCTGATCTACTTTTGCCACAGGCTGCCGACATAGGCGTCCCTTGCTCTCCCGCTTCCGTTCGGAAGTACCGGGACTTGCTGATCAAAGCCCGCGCGAATATGCAAAAGGCTCAGATCCGCATGCAGCAGCAGGCTAACTGACATCGACTTCCATGTCCTTTCCGCGAGGGAGACCTTGTTTCGGTCCTCTCCGAGGAATTTGCGCTCGAGCAGGACGTTTCGTGCAAACTCCTTCTTAAATGGTTCAGACCATGGGAAGTCACTTCTGTCGTTGGAGACGACCCCGCAGGTCCTTCCTTTGTGGTCAACATTCCTCCGCACCTTCCAGTGGGGTCTTCCACGCGTCAAAGCTGGCCATCTACACGCCACCTTCCGCCGACGAGTTTCCCGGCTGTCGATCACAGGATCCGCCTTCTATGGACGGACATCAGGAAGTCGACCGAGTCATCACGCATCGCAAGTATGGCAACAAGCCAATGCAGTTCAAAGTCACATTCAAGCAATGTGCGCCTGATGACACTCGGTGGATCTCCAGTACAGATTTGCAGACTTTTGCACCCCTTATCTTCGCCGACTATGAGAAGCGACGCCTTGCTAAGGAAGCAGCTCGTCCCACTCGACCCACCCCGGTATCGGACATACAACTTCGCCCTCGCAGGTAGCTCGGTCTTTTAAGAGGGGGAGTGTGTTACATCTTCGACGCCACACGGGTCCTACCGGACCCGACGTAGGGGTAGAGGGACACAGTAGGGCCAAAGGCCCGACCTTGGGGGGTACTACAGGCCGTAAAGGCCTTACCTTGGACTAGACCCGACGGGCCAGCCCAAACAATATTACCGTTTGGGCCTGGCGACGCTCTTGAGGCTGCCGTCCGCCGGTCGGGGCTGAACCGTCCATCTGGACGGTTCAGAGCACGGTCAGGCCTCGCACCATAGAGGCCGACCTCTGCCCACCGGTACAAAAGTACCGGTCCAGCCTCAGTGAGGCTATCGACCTACCGGCATTTTACTGGTACGGTATGGTACAGCGAGATACCGCGCTGGCGCTAAGTTTAGCGCAGGAGCAGCAGCGCAGCATTAGCGCAACAGCAGCGAGCAGGCAGCAGCAGCGGCGACTGAGTGTACCGACGACCATCGCCGCCTGAGGTATCGGGAGTTGGAGGCCTCTCTCCTCCCTCCCCTCGCCAGTCCCCTCTCTCTCTCTCTCTCTCTCTCTCTCTCTCTCCTCCTCGGCTCCTTCTTCTTCTTCTTCTTCTTCTTCTTCTTCTTCTTCTTCTTCTTCTCTTCAGACTCCATCTTCTTCTTCTTCTTCTTCTTCTTCTTCTTCTTCTTCTTCTTCTTCTTCAGATTGGAGACTTGTACTAGTGGACAGAGATCAGTGTTGGACTTCGGTGGTATGAGACTGTGGTACTTACCGGATTGGAGACTTGGAGATTGTTGGGGTTGATACTTGGCGGCATCACAGTTCGGACACCGGTTACATTTGGACTCTGTATCTCCGACATTGGTGACTGATTGTCCTCGACATTTTGATCTTGTTGGATAACATTTTGGACTACCATATCGGTGACCTATCGGATTCTATCTCGGTGACCTACCGGTGTTGTCTACCTCCCCCACCTCCTTCGTCTCTCCTCCCACCTTTCATTTGTGTATGTGTGTACGGGATGTGGGCATCGTCCATGCTTGGCCCAGACCCCACCATCTCACGATTGTATGTGTGTGGAGTGATTCTATGTGAGTCAGTCTATGTGAGTCAGTCCGTTTATCAGACTTCCGCTGCATATATGCTCATCCTATATTGGTTGATCTTCGGTTCTGCCCATACTCATTGAAGTATGTAACATACAGGCTCCAACCCGCTGTTTCTAGGCGGGTATCAGGCCGTGTTGAGGCCTGTGAAGGCTTAGGGGCTACAGTTATAGAGTAAGGATGCCGTACTGTAGAAGAATGGACTTTGAATAGCTTAGTATAGCAATCCCATACCCTCTCCCTCCTGAACCTCAACTGCTTCCCCGTAACCTCAACCCCTGATCTTTCGTCGTCCTGTCACCCTCTCCCTTGGGGTGGGCCCCTCTGTCTTCTCCCAGACTCCCCCATCCACTTACCCCACCCCACGCCCACACCTTCCATTTCCAGTCTACCCAGGTACCCCCTCCCGAGACTATGCCAGTTACACTCATCCCAATTACCTGGCCCCTCGACACCAATATAGCATAGCATAGCTGAAGTCTATTACCGGTCCTTGCTGTTTAACTGATAACGGTCGGTTCCTTGCAGGTGCTGTAAAATGCGAGACTGGCTAATGCTGCCAGATGACTCTATTCCGGGTTGATTTGTGGGGTCCCCGGCCCCGTTGTCCTATCTTTGCAATAATATTTTGCTCTTTTTTTTTTTTTTTTTTTTTTGGGAAAGTTGTATAATATATTGCAAAAACCATGGAAACCTGAGGGCAGGCACGGGGGATTGGTCCGCTTTATCCCTGGTGCTACCGGTCGTCCCCTGGTCGGTATCCTGCAGGCTCGAGGGGCCGTTAAAACACGGTTGTGGTATGCTACGGGTTTCCCCATATGCCTACAAGTAGTAGTAGTGGTAGGTAGGT